GCTGGGGGCCAAGTCTGGAGAATACGGTGGGTGAGCAACCAATTCGAATCGTAATTGGTCCAATTTGACCATCGCTTTCAAGGACGTGTGTGATGGTGCGTTATCGTGATGGTACAGAACTTTTTTCTTCGCCATATGGGGCCGTTTTTTCTTTATTTCGTCGTTCAGTTTGTCCAATAACGCTGCATAATACTCTCCCGTAATTGTTCTTCCCTTCTGCAGGTAATCGATGAAGATTATGCCATGCGCATCCCAAAAAACGGAGGCCATAACCTTCCCGGCTGAGCGTTAGTCTTTTGGCTGTTTTGTTCGGCTTTCGTGGCTTTTCAGCCACTCTGCAGACTGCCTATTGGACTCAGGCGTATGGTAATGGATCCACGTTTCATTCATCGTCACAAAACGTCGAAAAAAGTCCGCTCGATTACGCTGCAACAACGCCAAACTGGCCGTTGAATCATCAACGCGCTGCTGTTTTTGATCGATGGTCAGCAAACGCGGCACCCATCGTGCCATAGCTTTTTCATCTCCAAAACATCATGCAAAATGTATCCCGCCCGTTCTTTTGAGATGCCCACGGCCTCAGTTAACTCGCACAACTTCACTTTACGATCACTCAAAACGATTCGATGCACTTGCTTTGCGATTTCCGCATTCGTAGCCTCTTTTGGCCTTCCAGAGCGAGGTGCGTCTTCGGTGCTTGTACGACTCATTTTAAATTCACTAAACCACCGATAAACTGTTGTTCTCGAAGGAGCAGATGTGGGATAACATTTCTGCAACTATTTCAATGATTGTTCAGAAGTTTTTCCCATCAAAAAACAATGTTTGATCAAGATGCGATATTCCTGTTTCCATTTTTTTTACGAAGGCGAAAGTAACGCCACTTAAACGACTGTAGCTTATAAATGAATGAACGAAATGTCATGAAACTTCATACATAAACTAGTGACAGATGAACCTCTCGAAATGAATCATGTTCATTTTCTAGTGGCGCCACCTATTGAAAAATCCCGGGACTTTTCAGCCCATGTAGTAAATATAAATTAAAAATTATAAAAATAGTATAATAGAACTTACTGTTAATATTTTACGAGTCACAGTCATATGAGTTTTGTAAGCTAGAAACTTGTTCCCTTAATATATCTTTAATCGTCAAATTTATATCGATCACATTTACTGAAAGAACCTCCACCTGTTTTATTAACATTAATTTATTCTAAGGCAAATTTCCTTTTCGTATCTTTTTTTAAATTATTATATCTTGCTTTTAAATGTTTCACACTTCTGAAAGCATTGCCACTATTTTTGCTATTAAATTTACTTTCAATTTTCAACCATACTTTCTCTTTGTCTTTCCATGTAACATTACTCTTCTTACATTCTATTTTTATATTTTTCAACGAGACTAATTAGAAGCTGCTCTTCGCATTTTGAGAAATTTGGTGCTCGTTTCTCTTCTTTCATATTTGCTTTTTTTTGGGACTGAGACTGCTATGAATTGAAGTTTTGTATTAAGTACAAAAATATCAAATTATATTCAAATCTAGTTAATTTATTATTAAAAGACAATAAATAATGTTAGCTTATTATACCTAAAAAGTTTAATATATTAAACTTCTCACTAGTTAAGATAGCAAGCTGACATTACATTTATCATCATTTTTATACAAAAATATCAAAATATCGAAGTGACAAAACATTACTTTGCTGAAGATTACTTACCATAGCATATATCATATATTTCACAAATTTTAACAGATTTATATAATAAATGAAACAAAATATATTTTAAATGTTTATAATAAAGTAGATCCTGCAGACCGCTTTAATCTCGATAAGTTACGCCAAACATACGATCAGTGTTACCATCCCAATAGAAATATATGTAACCTTTAATTTAATTTAACCATAAGGTTCTAAATAGTGTAAATAGTTAACTTATAGCCTAATCTTTTGGTTAACCATATATTGAGAAATTGGGCCTAAGTTTTGCATAACAATGTCTGCTACAATAGGAAATAATGACGATTTCATAGGTATACCATAAGTTTGCTTATAAAATTTATTTAAACGCAAAAAACATAGAGTTGAAAACTAACTCTGTTACCTTGAAAAATTCGTTTTTGGTGATTTAAATGTTACGTTCAATGAGAGACCACCTGAGTGAAAATCCATCTAATACTAATTTGATAGGTATGTTAGTAATACTACGTTAAGAGGTAAAAGTGAAGTATCTTCGAAAATTGTCAAATTAGAAATGCATTTTGTCAAAGAAGTTATTGTCAATAGAATTGTTGGCTCCTAGCAGGCTTTTAAGAATTAATTTACGCAAAAATGTTGCTAAGTTATGAAATGGACTCCTTATGGACAATAACTCGAAATGGATTACTAGGTTTGTGAATTTCAGATAAATCATATGCATGTGCGTTAGGATGTGATTGGTCGAGTTTAGGGATTTGACATGAATCCTTTATGAATCCATAATGCTCCCAATTTTTTAGCTTTTAACTCAATGATCACTTTGTTTACAGGATTTAGTTTTATAATAGTATAAGAGACTTTGCTCTGAGACTTTGCAAACAGCAATTCCATTTTTTGTATGTGGTCTGTTTTATCCGTGGCTACTATTATGTTACCCTTGTCCGCTTACGTGAACAGAATATGTTGTCTTTTATAAAATTGTTTGTTTTGGAAAGATGGCAAAGAATATTTTTTCCATCATTGTTCTGTTATTGTGTATATTTTTTATAGTTAATTACTAGTACTATTTTGGTCTTGATACCTTTTCTATTCAGAAGTTTTACCCTTAAAATTGTATTTTATGTGTTTAATAAAGTCATGTTAAACGTCGGTAGACAAAAATCGTCATCTAATTGTAGCAAAGCTTATACTTTCATAGGTATTAATGATGTGATGATAAGCCTCTTCTCGTCATTAATTCCAGGCCGCCCATCTGTCCATCTGCACTACTCGGCTTTATGCTACAATTTATGCTACAATCCGACTTATGTGTGCATATGCGATGCGTGGGAAGAGGGAGTATCCCCCCCTTCCTCTACCCCAACGAACGTCCACCAGCTGGGGTATAAATACCGAACCGAGCAAAATTTGAGAGGAATCCTGTTCAGACCATAGTTTCACCACTGATCATACGTCAGACCTTTCATGAGGCGATTGATCAAAAACGGCCTCCTATACATGGATTCGGAATGGCTCTATATACATAAAGTGCCATCCTACCACTTTGCCGATACGACTTCATCATCGTGGCCATCTCATGGCCACCACTGTCGTTGTTCCTCAACCGGATCTTGTTTAGCCTGCTCAGCCTGTAGGATCTACCATTCATCTTACTACAGACATCTTATGTTGCTTCTGCGAGGCCTGTCTGTGCTGTGACTTTTTTGTGTTCTGCGCGTAATGGACATCCATCCTGCGCGCCAATCACGCCATTAGCTACTAATACCGCTGTCTTGCGCCCACCCAAGTTTTCTTCTTCGTAGTTTGTATCGTTGGATTTGGCGCTATTTTCAAAAATCCATCGTCGCGAAAAGACTGACGCTTACGTGCGACGGTCTCCACGTCCAGGGGTTCCCTATCCCACATCAACT